CCTCTGCTCTGCCTGGAGGTGGCTGGAGCTGGTGACGGGCCGGCCTGGCTGGGCGAGGGGGTGGTCGGGCAGCCCTGCTGTCCTGCCCTGGCTGGACCCACCCCTGACCTGAGTGGGCAGTTGAAGGCATCAGGCGGGAGCTCAGAGCCTTTGCTGCAAGACTCTGAGCTCCCCGAGATGGCCGGCCACCCCAGCGTCCAGGACATGGTCACGTGAGGGGCTTTCTGAACTCGGTGGCTGTTGGTGATGCGGGGACTGGGCCAGAGCCTTCCAAGAAGGCGGGCCCCTTGGCAGTGCAGTGTCACGTGGAAGCCTGTCAGCTGCCTGCTGGAAGCCGAGGTCAGGGGCTGCCCAGCCCCACGCATGTGCCCGGTGGCTGGCCCGCGTGGATAGCGTGGCTGGGGCCTCGCTGGACCGACTCGCTGCTTCTACGGGCCCCGGGCGTTCCTTCCCCGCTCAGGGCTTGCTCTGTCAAACCCGCGCCCTTTCTTGGCGTGGCATCGTGGGGCTGAGTGGCCAGGAGGGGTCACGGCTCTCCTGTCTCTGCAGGGCCCGCTGCTGCGCTGGCTCAAGGTGAACTTCAGCGAAGCCTTTATTGCGTGGGTGCACATCAAGGCACTGAGAGTGTTCGTGGAGTCCGTGCTCAGGTAGGCGGGAGCAGGGGCCGGACCCGGCCGGCCTGCAGCGGGCGGGGGGCCTTGACGAGCCAGCTTGGGGGCCACGGGGCTCCCCTCCCCGCTTGGCACCCCTCTAGCTTCCTCAGACGGTGTCTTCCTCGGCTCCCCCGGGTCCTGGCCAGGTTTCCTGAGTCCAGTGAACCTTCCCGTAGCCGTGAGGCCCCCTGCTGGCTGGTGCCCTTTTCTGCCAGACCCGGCGCAGCCACCGCCTGCGCTGCCTGCCCGCCCCCTCCCAACGCCAGGACCCGGGGGCCTGGTTCAGGCCCCGACCTCGAGGCCAACCTCCAGGCACCAGAAAAGCCAAACCCAAACCAAACCAAACCACCATCACCAAAACTTATTGTACCCTTTTTTTTTCTTTTTTTAAACAAAAGCAAAATGGGTTCACTGTGGACATTTTGGAAACTATAGGTAAACTCAAAGAGTGAATAAAGTCACCTGGCATTTTACGGACACGGACAGAAAACACTGCTAACATACATGCTGGTGTGTACACCTTCAGATTTTGGTATTTTGGCTTTTTAAATGTACAGACATGTATACTTCTCACTAGGGTTTGTGACAATGGGGTCTAACAGGGATGATTTTTTGAAGCCAGCTCCTCTGCCTGCTTTGAACACGTCGCGTGTCGTGAACACCCCGCTGGCTGCACCCTGCTGCCGGGGGCATCCCGGCTCTGGTCGGCAGGCTCAAGCGCTCTCCAGCCCTGGGACGACGGTGTCCCTGCCCCTTCCCCCGCCCCCTGCACTGCAGGTTGCCCCAGGGTCCCCTCCCAGCTCCTCCCCTGGCGCCCCAGGCCTACGCCTGCCCAAGCCCCTCGCATCTCCCAGTCCTGCCCTCCTCCCCGCGTAGACCTCTGGCTCTCTGGCTCATCTTCCTGTCCAGCATCTTCCTCCAGCTTCCCTGTTTCTGCCAGTGGCTGCTCGGAGGCCTCTGCTCCCTCACCCTCACATCCCATCCGCACCGCGCCCGCCCACCATACCGCACTTCGATGGGCCTGTCAACCTGCCTGTTTTCTCCTCTGTCTCTTGCCTGTTCGCCCAGCTGTTGCCATAGGCTCCTCCCTGGTTCTCTGCCTCCAGTTCATCCTCCCTGTGGTGGCCAATGCGGCTTTGTCCAAACGCAGATCGCAGATCGGATCTGACTGTGGCTCCTCATTCCCCCCGCATGCACCTCCTCGCCCGCCCCCCCGCCCCCCGCCGACCTTAAAGGCCTATAATGAATGACAAGGGTTTCGCGCTGGGTTGATGGGCGCACTCACGCTAACCTCGCGTGCTTCAGCGTCTCCGGCGTGCAGGGGCGCACAGCGCGCCTGCCCGCCCGCCTGCCTCGAAGAGCATGTCCTGAGCACAGTCGGAACACGTGAACACCAAACAAAGTCGCACTCCGAAGCATGCGCTGTAGGGAGTGTTCCTTGCGGTCCCACAACCCACAGATAATCACAGCGAATGGTTTTAAAGCTCTTCGTATCCCCCAGACGGGTCATTTATTTATACCTAAGAGTCTGTGGCTTGCTTTTTTCATCTGCTTTGTATTATAGTCTCATCAATATGTGTAGGGCTACTTAGCCCTTTTTAAAGGCTTTTTCGCATTCCACTCTGTGGAGAGATCAGTGTAAGAAAACAGATGCTGACTGAGCGCATAGAGCAGACAGGTACCGCTCCCCAGCCTCCACCGAGCTCCCGCAGCCTTTGCCCCAGGGAATGCCCTCAAGGCCGTTTTTAACCTTTCCCGGAACCGGGGCGCAGGGAGGGCTGGGGCCGAGTCACCGCCCTGCCTGTCGTCCAGCCCGGATGGAGGAGCTGCTGGATGTTTGTGGACCGAAGGAGGTCAGAGTGAGGAAGAGCTGGTTCTCTTCAGGGTGAGCCGGGGGCTTCTACCAGCCCAGACCAACATGGAAGCAGCCTGGAGAGGCGGGGCTCCAGCTGGGGAGCTGGACAGGAGCGTGGATCGCGGGCGGGGTCTCCATGGGGAAGATGCCAGGAAATCATCAATGACGGCGTGTGTATAGAAGCTCACCCAGGGAGTCAGAGGGAAGGTGCCGCGGGGACACCTCGGGGAACCCTGGCATTGAAGGAGCGGCGGCCGGGAGGCCCATGGGGAAGTCAGAGACAGGAGGGGGTCGCGCTCAGGGTCAAGGCAGTGGAAGGCCAGGGCTCTCATGTCCCTGGTGGAAGAGCCAGCGCGGTGGTAGAGGACTGAGTGACATTGGACATTGGACACTGAAGTTTGGAAGAGTTCAGGGTGTTGAAGTTCTTACTTTGAACAGGGCGGGACGGTGGTACGTTCAAGGTAGGGAACAGTGAGAGAGACGGAGGGTGGCCCCTATGCTCAGCATGGAGGTGCAGGGAGAGGCCACCCCGCGCTTGGCCGCAGTGGAGGCAGCTGCCGACAGCGCCCTTCCACGTGGATGCTGACATGCCCTCCCTGCAGGTCAAGCAAACCTTGGCATTTCGGGACGCAGCACCATCAGCAGCTGGGACTGAGGGCTGGGGGCGTTTGGGAGCCAGGGGGTAATTTATGGACGTTGGGAAATAAAAACTAAGCAATATTAACTGAATTTTGCCCGTGAGTCGTGCACACCAGGCACGTCAGAGGGTATTACGGACCTTAAGGACCACTGTTGTAGCTGGCGGGGGACAGGAGGGCGTATGGGTGACAAGCAGGGAACTGACAGGATTTTTAAAGAACACACTGACATTTAGCAAGCGCATGTTTATTATTCATACAGTACTCAGTTGTCTCTGGATACCACCCCAGAAAGAGCTGCCAGGCAAGTGGTTTTCCGTGTAGTCAAGCATACGAAGTCCATTTAAAATCTTTTGCTTGCCTTAAAGCTTAGTAAACTACGTTTTTTTTGCTTTTGCTTTTCTACTGGAGGAAAATCGGCTAGGCAGCAATTCAGACAAATGCCTTCGGTGAGAACCGCCAGCTCAGTGGCCCTGCGCGCTCGCTGCCCCGAGTCAGGAACTACCACGGTCAGAGCAGCCTGGCGTGTTCAAGAGATTATTCTACCCGGACAGACTAATTCATTCCCCTGGACCCTAGGCATTGTGCTTTACCGAGTTTTATTTTCTGAAGCGACGCTAGCGGCAGCTTTCTATTTTATTAGAGCCTGCCCTGTATTTCTTTTTCGTTTGTTTTACCCGCATTTGCATCTGGCGTAACTAACTTACACATTTTGTGTGTCTGAGAAGGTATGGACTCCCCGTGAACTTTCAGGCTGTGCTCCTCCAGCCTCATAAGAAGTCGTCCACCAAGCGGCTGAGAGAGGTCCTGAACTCCGTCTTCAGACACCTGGATGAAGTGGCGGCTGCAAGTCTCCTGGATGTAGGTATCGGGCCCCGAAGGAGCTGCCTTGCTGCAGTGAGGGTCAGCCTCTGCACAGGGGACACCCATCCCCAAAATGGTACTTGCCAGAGTGTTGCGAAAACCTGCATTTTACACACATTAAGTGTGAGAGGCTGTGTCGGGGGTGTGGGTGGGGAGAACGTGCAGGGCAGGACACGGGATCAGTGTTCGGAGAGCTTCCTTGAAAATACAAAGATGGCTCTGGAAACGAGTTCATGCCCTTTGAACGTTACCACGTCTTCTTCCGCAGGCGTCTGTGGAGATCCCTGGGCTGCAACTCAGCAACCAGGACTATTTCCCGTATGTCTACTTCCACATCGACCTCAGTCTCCTGGACTAAACGCTGAGCGGACCCCTCGAAGCGTTCACGCTCACGCAGGCGAGATGACTACAGACCCTGCTCGCCCTCAGCCAGAGCAGCTCACGTGTCCAACGGAACTTAGGTTTTTAGAGAGATCGCTCACAGAAGTTAGTTACAGTTGTATTTATTTTTTGTAAGGTACAATAAAGAAACGCTCAGTCCTTTCAATTGGCTCTTTACTTGTATTCCAACATTTCAAAATTTTTTTCCTGAATGTTTTACATAAATGGGGACTGTCTATAAATTGGTAACGTGCTGCTGTGTTTCTTGTCTTAATGGATGTTTTGCGAGGATTTGGTCCTGTTAAAAACCTTGAGCTGACTGCCAAGCCAGCTGTGTTCCCTCAGTCACTGGCGAAGGACCAGAGGTAACTTTGGGCATGAAACACAGTTCCCAGCTGGCGGCCCCTCGTTTCTCGCCCCCCATGCCACGTTCCCAGAGCGGCCTGGCCTCGCAGGATGCGCGCCCGCTGTGCTGCGGCCAGCGCCCCGGCACCGCCGTGGGCACCACAGGTGTTTAGAAAGGAGACGTCAGGGCCAGACATCCGTCATATTAATTTACTGGCTACACATCAGACTCTGAATTTATGGTGTGGACACTAATTGCATACATTTGTTGGCATTGTCCAAAATATTGTTTTATTCTTTAATGGAAAAAGCCATTAATATTCAAATGAAAGAATCACATTAAAAAACTTACATAAGAAACAGCCTCCAAGAACACCCAAGCAGCAGTCAGAGGGAGAGAGAAGTGTTTCAACCGCCCATCAGCTTTCTTCAAAATGTTACTTGACAGAATACCACCCAATTCACTGGCTACAATTCATAGAATTTTTCATTGTTTTCTTGAGATGCAAAAGTTCAGTCGCAGTGTATTCAAATGACCAATCAAGTGCTACTTCCTGGTTAAAAAGGCCACTGGGAGATCCATCCGATCGCAAGGGATGCCCCTTCACTGCTGGAAAAATCTGCCCCCAAGAAAAGGAGACGGGAATCTGCCGAGCCCCTCACAGCTCGTCCTTCTCCAAGTCGTCCAGCTCCACGTCGCTGAGGTCGATATCGTCTTCCACAGGAAGCTGCGAGACAAAACCACCGTCAGGCCCTGCAGGGCGACTGCAGAGGCAGGCAGGGGACCCTGAACCACGCTTTCACTGCCAGCCATTCAACTCGTCCTCCTGAGGAGGGCGGGGCAGAAGGGCACCCGCGCAAACGCCGCTTCAAAGCTGCGATTCTACATTTCCGTAAGGCAAAGCAAGTGAATTCAAGGGTAAACGGTCACTTTGTGTAATAATCGGGAAAGCAGCCTCGTTATGGACATTTATCTTGGTTGACTGTTAAGAGTACCAAATGCCACACAGTACTTACTAACAGGGCTTGGTTTACAAGTAGCAAAGAGGCGCAGGGTCGGGGAAAAGGCCCGAGAGAGGGCCAGCCCCAGGCCCGCAGCCCCCGCTCCGCGCGGCTCACCTCGCCATCCTGGCCGTCCCAGGGCTCTCTGGGGCTGATGGTGGGGAAGGCCCCGCCCCCCACAGGGGCTGTAGATCCTCGCCCGAAAGACAGCTCCCTGTGGAAAACAAGCCCAGGCGTTACAGGGGCCCGCCGGCGCAGGTGAAAAAACGGCTGAGGCAAGAATGACGTGCCTGTTCCGTTGACAGAGAGGCGTTTCCGACTGCTGTTCCTGAGAAATACCTTGTCAACAGTACTGTCTTTTTAATGAGGGACAATGCCACCAGGCAAGAAATTCCTAAGGCCTCAGCATCAGATAAAACCAGTTACTACAAATAACTTAAAAAACAGCAAATGCATTTTGCTAAAATACAAATTAATTATGTAAAAACTATCAAAGCTGAGAGCTTAAGACGCCAGACAGGCTTTTGGAAAGGGAGCGTCGTCCACCCAGAATCCCGGCCCTCGCCTCCACCCAAGCCCCAGTGCCGGGCGCGCGGCAGCCCTGCCGGACCTGCAGACGGGAGGGCACTTCTGTCACAGCCCGAGCTCTGGGGGGACACGAGAGAACCGCTGGACAGCGGCTCAGGTCTCGCCTTGAGCAGACATCGACAGGAAACCCCTCCCTGGAAGGGTGCGGAGGCAGGCGCAGGCCCGAGGGCAGGCTTCTCCTAAGGGGCCCCCGCACCTGCGCTGCGGAAGGGCGCCGGGGTCGGGGAAGCTCCCTGCAGCGCGGCGGGAAAGTGGTGGCTGCCGCCTGGCAGCTTGCACAGTGTGCACCAGCGGTTCTTAAACAGGGGCAAAGTTTGCCCCCAGAGGGCATTTGGCAATGTCCGGAAACACTTTTAATTGTCACAGTTCTGCGGGGGGGGGTCTCCTGGCACCTAGCGGGTAAAGGCCAGGGATGGTGCCAAACGTCCTACAATGCACAGGACAAAGAAAGAACTATCTGGTCCCCAATGTCAGGAGCCAAGGCGGAGACACCTTGACGCACGTGTGTCGCAGCCAGAAAACAGGGTGAGCATGCTCGAAACCCCACTGCCCCGCCGTCCGCCGGGCTGTTCACGGGTGCGGCACAGGACGGGACGCGGGCCGCACGGAGGGCGGGCGGGCAGAGTAAAGAGGGATTCGGCACAGTAAGCCAGACCTTTGCCTCACTCCATCTATCTAAACTCTACGCTAGTAATAGAAATAAAATAATAAAATCTAGAGCTAGAATGACTCAATTTACTAGGAAGGGGCACAGGCCACCCCAACTCCGGCGGGCAATACAAACCCCGTGAACACTAAAGAGCGCGCCAGCAGCCCTTCACCTCACTGACCAGGTAATTCACCACCTGTCGACATCAGCCTCCTCATCAATAAGATGCCGAGATGCATCTGCTGTTAGATATTTGGTGGATGGGGATGGTGCTCAAAAAAAAATATAATAAAAAAAAGCGAGCCTCCTACTTCATGTTGGCAGTGAGAGTGAACAGATAGAGGGAAAGGTGTTACACCCTTACAAGGGAACAAAAATGCTACGGGAGTTGCGCCTTCAGGGCAGAGTTAACTGCCTACGAAGTTTTCCTCCCCACTGCCACCAACTTCTTCGGATTAAGGGAACCTGCTTTCAAACTGGACAGCCACGAACCGATACAAAATCCAGGTCCTTCCATCACTTCTGGGTGCACAGCTAACAATTCCGTACTTATATTTTCTGGCTGCTACTCTAAGAGGAACACAACATGGCATCTTCAAGGCAATATGCAGGAATCGCTGATGTTGTATTGGGCTGACCACTGGTGCTACTACACTTATAAACTGTTAAAACTCCGGGGGGCTATCCGACAGACTGCACTGATGATGACCTTTTTTTCTCGTTGGTCTTCCAACGGCCAGACGGCGGCAGGCCGGCGGGGTTTTGAGTACAGGGGCTGGCGCGCACTGGCCAGCTCTCTGCCAAGGCCTGGCGGAAGCGGTCTGCTCGCTGGCGAGGTGCTCCGCACACATGCGGCCTTCTCAGGAAACACGTGTAGCCTCACGTGTAGCTAGAAATCGGCACACTGTCACACACTCATTACCACATACTTTCCTCCACTGGGAACCCGGTGGAGTGTGGGGTTTTCTGCTACCTCCACGACAAGAATTTTGGGAACAAAGTAATTGTTTCAAGTTCACAACATGCTACTGTTCCCTGTATCTTTTCCATGAAGCATTTCCCTTCTCTGTACTAAAACAGACAAATGGGAAGAGGAAAACTGGTTGAAAATAAATGTGAATAAAATTAAAGCTGGGGTTAGAACCTGTAATTTTCAGTGAGTCCAAAGGTGTAATCTCCGTTACTTACTACTCTCGTACATCTTCTGAAGGTTTTTGACATTGGAATTAGCATTTGAAAAAGGATGAAGCACACTTTATAAATAGCCTTCCTAGCAATATGCTGTGTCCTGTTCAGCAGGAAGCTTCCCGAGGGCAGGGAAGTCTTTCTAACTGACACTGTTTCAGAGACAAAGAATTCAATCATTTCTTCATGAAATATTTACCAAGAGCTTATTATCAGCCAGTCTAGAGCAGAATGTAGAGATAAAATTTTGTGTATCAGAAAGTCACCCATGTAGAACTTAGTTAAGAGGCATTAATCAAATTACCATTTCCTTGAGCTAAAGTACAGGGGCAACGCCTTGTGTTTGCCTAAAAGACGATGTAGTCAGCTTTAGGACGAGTTGAATAGCAAGCAGCACAGAGAGCTCTCTAAACTGGTCTCTGAGTTCGAGAATCTCGCATGCTGTGGCCTTGTGTTGGGGTCCCTTAAGTAGGCGCACCCATTTTCTAATGACTACACTCCAAAGCCAACGCCTAGCAATGAAAACCGTATCAGCTGAGGTCAAGGGTACTAAGCATGCTCGGGTGGGACGGGGGAGACAGGGCCGCTTCTAAGCCATGAGACCTTAATGAGGATCAGGAAGAGCCAATGCCAACTGAACAGAATGACAAAATGACCTGAGAACAGGGAAGCATTAGCACTGTTCACTCTGGTAGAACACTTCTATGACAAAGAGAACAGAGCACAGGATGATGATTTAAAAGCTCCAAATTTATAAACATCTAATTCTCCAGAATATCTAATGCAAAATCATTCCATTTATGCCTGGTCTATATAAACCTAGTTCTGAACCAAAAACCACAGCAGAACCAACCAATCCAAACCAAACAAAAATATTACCTGAGAAACTCGTTAATGCCTTGCTCACTGAAAGACCCTTTCAGAAGAGCGAATTTCATCTTGCGCGCATTAATGGCTGCCATGGCAGGGTAGCCAAACCCTCCGATCCCCAACGCACTCTCCAGCTCTGTCTGGGCTCCCGCCTCTGTCCACAGCCACCTACAAAGGAAGACTGGTTTTCAGGGCAAAGATCTCTTTCAAATTAGTTAGAATCTAACTAGCGGATCTTAATTAAAGAATAAAAGATTATACTTCAAATATTTTATGTAATAAAATGGGTATAAGAAATAAAAAGGTAGAGGTTTTTTTTTTTTAAGATTTTATTTATTTTTAGAGAGAAGAAGGGAAGAAGAAAGAGAGTAATATCAGTGTGTGGTTGTTTCTCATGTGCCCCCTACTGGGGACCTGGCCTGCAACCCAGGCAAGTGCCCTGACTGGGAATCGAACTCACAACTCTTTGTTTACAGGCTGGCATTCAATCCACTGAGCCATACCAGCCAGGACTAAAAATGTAGAGTTTTCAAAAATAATGTTTTCTAGATAAGCTCTTCAGTCGCTATAGTTTCTCTCTCATGTTCCCTAAACCCTAACCCCAGAAGCCCCCCCAAGTGGATTGGTCTACCTGTGAGATACCCTACCCCAGTCTCCAAACTATTGTCCATTAAACCTCATGAATTTCCTGTCTTTGGTACCAATATCATTTAGGTTATTATGGATAGTCTTTAAAAAGTATAGTAACTTTTTAAAAAAATTATAGATATGTCATCATTATTCAATACACATAAAAATGTTCAACTAAAGACAAATGGCAGGAAAATAGAGGCACACTTTAACAGTTTGCCTAGATCTGGCTGTTACTCAGAAGAGGGTAAAGAAACGCCTCTGTTTCTTTTTTCTTTATCCACACTGCAAGGCCTTACTAGATAGAAGTCGGCTGTGTTACTAAGTAACTTCTTGCTTGCTGGCCTGGGACCCCAACTGCCTTTTAAACTATGGTCCCTATGAGAAAAAAGTATGCTGTGGTTACAAATAAGAGCCTTGTAAATAGCAGACCGTATCACTTCTTTTCTTCCTAAATGATACAAACACAGGAACACATCCTGCAGAAAACAGACAGAGCCCGACACTTTCAAGAAGCACTAAACGTTCCTACCCAAACAATATTGAGACATTAGGTTCAATAACTTACCCCCACATTTTCTTTTTGTACTTGTCTGCCAATTTCAGAAGAACATCCAAGTAAGAATTTCTGCCGGCGGCTCCTGATTGAAACACAAAATTTTAAAGATAAAAATACAGGTGTCTATAGCATTGACTGATTTAGAACGTGCTCGCAGGGCAGGCAGCACAGAACAGGAACGGAAGGTGCATTCCTGCTCCTCGTACCCGTGTCGAGAATGTGGGGCAGGACAGCCACGACGCAGAGTTGATGCTCCTCACACGTCTTCTTGGCGACGTCCTCATTGATGATCTGTGGCGCCCAGGAGACAAGGGTGGAAAACAGGGACTTAGCACCACCACTTTTCTTAAAGAGCAAAGCAGGAGCAAGAGCACAGCTCCCAAATGGCACTTCCTCCCATGCATTCCAGACGCGCCGCCAACGGTGCTCTGTGAGAGGCGCCCGCTGTTCACTCCTAAGCCCCCTATCCGGGGTGGTGGCGAGGAACCTGCATATAGTCTCTGAACTCAGAGCGCTGGGCACAGCCTGGCTCTGACACCTACCGTTTGGATATGCAGACAGACACATTTATACGCATCACGTATTTTTATGAACCTGATGCTCGCTGTGCCTCAGTTTCCTTGTTATAAAATGGAGGTTAAAAGTAGTATCATCTCTAAGTGTTCCCATAAGAATTAAGTGAGAAAAATCTACAAAAAAGCACCAGAACAGAGCCTGTTACATGGTTAGGTGCTCAATAAATGTTAGCTATTATGCTGAGAATGAGAAATGAAAGATCCATTCTATTTTTAAAAAGCATAGGTACACTTTTTCTCACAGTGCAATTATTTTAGTGCTAAAGTTATGAAAAGCAGGAGTTAATCAGAGAGGTTTTGCCCCTTTGGAAGTATAGAAACACTGTCAAGAGCATTTTAAAGGATCAGGAGAAGAGCTCCATTCGAAGAGACAGACGGTGCCCTCACGGCTTCGACCCCCCACGGCCAGCTGACGGAGGCTGGCTGACGGAGGCCGGCTGACGGTGGCCGAGGCTTTACCTCCAGCAGCTCCGGAGGAGGGGCGTTGTCAGAAAAGAGGTCGAGTGCCCGGGCAACGATGTCCGACCTCGTCCGCCCGCCGTCATAGTCCACAGGAGACTCGCCTTTCTGAAAGATCTTGATTGTAGGAAATCCCCTGATCTGTTAAAAGTCAAGTCAGCATTTAATAAGAAATAAGGCAACCTCTGTGGTTTCTAAAACCACCTTCTAGGTATTTTAATGTAACAAAAATATGCCCAGCCTGCACCTGTGTCTAAGGCCCAGCCCTGCTGGTCGGGGGCTTTTAACAACCTGACTGCCAGGCTCGGCCAAGTCTTACTCAAACCCTGGATCTACACTTACTATATCTGCTCTAGAACAAACGGACTAACTTCAAGGGCCCTACGAACAACTTGGAAAACCTTGGGAAATCTAAAGGCTCGAATTAAGCACATAAAGACAGTGAAATACTGGGGAAAAAACCCCCAATAACAGTCCTGACTTCCAGACTTTTTAGTTATAACAAGGAAGTGACTTAAAAGGCTCAACACCCCCGCCCCCCACCTCGGAGGGAAGCCGGGTGTGCTAGATGAAGTGACAGCAAAGAATCTGTGTATCTCACAAAGAAAAGAGCGGCAGACACACTCACCCCATAGCGGCCGGCCAGCATCTGATTGACAGTCGCGTCCACAGCCGCTAGTTTCACTTTTCCTTTCGTTTGCTCTTTCACCTCAGTAGCGGCAGCGGCCCATTCTGGCTCTAGGCTACAAAAAAATATCTTAACTCTCAGTGCAAACACTTTAATTAATGTGCGTATGTCTGCTCAACTCAGTTACATCACACAGGAAAGCATCTTCAGTGCGGCTTCATGCAGGGCAGGGTGCTGCCTTCCGCGCTTGCTCCCCAGGCCTGCCTTTGTCGCCCCCGAATGCGGGTGCCAGCTCCCTGTTACCCTCTGAAAATGCGAGAGAGGACACCCTTGGCATGGATGCCGATGTTCGCCACTCGTGAGAGTCAGAGATTTCGGGTGGAGATACTGGCTGTGCCTAGGATCTGGTTCAGCTCTTTCAAAGGGAGCTGTGCACACCCACTCACACGTGGGATCCCGACAAAGCACCAGCCCGGCTCCCAGACAGAGAACACACTGCTGGCTGCCACAGGCAGGTGGGGCGGGGGGCGGGGGAAGGGGCGCGGAATGGGTGAGGAGGGTCAGAAACAAAAAGACACACAGAAAACCCTAAAGAGAGCCAGACAACAGGCTAGACAGCCCCGTGACTTACTTTTTGCAGTGTCCACACCAAGGAGCGTAAAATTCAACCATCCAAACATCGTCACTATCAAGAACATTCTTATCAAAGTTGTCGTCTGTCAGCTCAATCACATCTTTCTTACTTGAACCTTCACTTCTACCCTGTCAATGTGACATTAAACATTAAACTGCAATGTGACAAAAGCACAGACTCCTATTCTCAATATGCCCATCACAAAAGCTGCTTCTACAATTTAATGAAGTTTTTGAGTTTTCCTTTCAAGTGAGAACTACTTTACTCAAATTAGGGACATTGTGTAATACTACAATTTTTGCTTGGTAAACAATACTTACTTTCAAGTAATCACCAGCACTTTCAGTATAACATGTAACATGTGTCTAAATTCTACCACTTGCAATGTTTCTGAAGAGAAACCTCAAAACGGCTGGCTCAAAGAATCATGTTAATAACACTATTCTAACTCAGACCCAAGCCCAGGACGCTACACATCACTGCACTTACTACCCTTTCATACGGTCTCTACCGTCCAAGAAAGCGAACAGAACACTGAGCCCGTCCCCTCAGTGCGAACCCTAAGGAACAGCCAGGACTGCGGCCTTGCCTTCTGCTGCCCGGGCCCACAGGCACGGAGCTGCGGGGAGTGACGGTGCTCGTTCAACGTCTATGTTGGAAATGAAAGGCAAACACAGAGCCTCTCGGTACGCTCCCGGTCTGTACAAAGAAGCTAGTTGTCCTCATCTCCTCAAAGAGCAAAGGGCCATTTTATCTACGTTTATCATTAAGAATTCAGTATCTTTTCACAAGCTCGTAAGCGTGTATCATGGTTAAATGTCACATTTTATAGAAGGGCATCTAGAACACCAAGCCACAGAACAGGAACTTCTTTCCCTTCTTCCCTATGCATTCATGTAGAATTTTCCACGGTTTTTGGGCTCACTCCTATAGATACAGGCCAAAAGGCAGTCCGGATTTCACCGGTTCGCCCGAAGTCAACCTGGAGGAGCAGCCCCTCCCCCCACTTGGCAACCACGTGAGGAAGGGGCCCGGAGCTGCTGCCCCTGTGGCCCCGACCCTTCTGCCTCAGCCCGGCCGCACTGCCCCCCGGGGTCTGGCCTGGGGCCTGCCGCTGGGCAGGGTGCCCCGGGAGGGACTAGCTACAGCCGCGGTGATTCTGAGGCGGCCGAAGGAGCAGGCTGGGTGGTGAATTCCCTCTGGGGTCAGTTGGCCCAACCTCCTACTATCTTTTAATTGAAAACCCACCCATTTACAGTATTAAAAACAACAATAACAACAACAACAAACCTATCTTCTACAAGGGGTTCACCCTCAGGCTTCAAAATCACACACTAAAAATGGACATGACAAAGCCTTACTTGTTTTCCAGAACTGTATCCGCCACCCCTTCCTGCCAGGCGGTCCTTGACGAGCTGGCGCACGGCGCTGAGAGCAGCGTCCACGATGGCCTCGGCCGTTCTGCCACCTGCAGGACAAGGGCCACGATCACAGGGTGGCGGGGGGGCTGCGTGCCTCTCTGTGCTCAGGCGCCACAGCTAGAGCTCGATAATGACAACAGCCTTTGGGAGTTTGCCAGAACCTACTGGGGGGCGATGAACGGGCTCAGAAGCATGAGGACAGTACTGTACGCCCCGGCGCGGCCCTCAGGGTTCCGACGCAGAACTGTAACTCAGAAAGTTGCATCTTTTTTTTTTTTTTTTTAAAGCTTTTGTAATCAAACTCCCTAGGAAGAGATAAAAACTGAGGCCACCTCAGACCTGGCCTAAGAAAACCCAGTACAGCCTCACTCAAGGAGCTGCGCCCTCCTGGTAGACAGAAGGGCAGGGTGGAGCCCAAAGCAGGCCCCTCCCACCACGCTTTACCTGGAAATAGACCAAGTGAAGAAACAGATGAGCAAAAAAGGCAGAGAGGACACTCTCACTCTAGACTAAGGGTCAGGAAATTCTTCATTATTTACAAAATCAGGCAGCAAGTCAAATACAACCCTACTCTAAACATTTGATGTTTGCAAGTCAGCAAAACAAATTATTATTCTGAAGCAGAAAAGCAGATGTTTACTCAGAAAAGTGAAATTCGTCATTTATCAAACTTCAGAGCTGGGGGTCTAGAAGAAAGGATGCAAGGCTTTCTCTCCAGTACTTTGAACCCCAGTTTGGTGACGTACCAACTACACTGTATTTACCAAGTCACATGTTTACGTGCCCTGTTTCAGCGGTAATGTAGGTTTTCACACACTCATTTTACACAAAAGAAGCAGGTCCAGAGAGTTAAGTACTCTTTTGGGTTGGCCAAAAAATCCATTTAGTTTTTTCCATAAAATAAAAGACACATTTTTCATTTTCACCAGTAACTACTGATTTGGATATTTGGAGGACGTCAGAGATCTCCCACCATCGGCCTCTGCTGGGGAGAGGCCGGGGGCGCTGCTAAGTATCTTCCCACACATGAGACAGCCCCAGAGCAAAGGATTATTTGGGCGAAATGTCCATAGTACCAAGAAAATCTGCAGACCATTTTTGAAACATTTGATCAGTTATAGTATCTCCTCCATACACTGCACAAATCTTTTTTTGCGTTTCAGTTGTGTTTTTACCTTTCTTGAAATAAAGCATAATATGCTGAAAAGGTTGTGTATCTCCTTCCATCTTCAATGTTAAAATGACTGCACAAAAATTCACCAATTTTGATTTTTTTTTCCCAATGCACACTGATATGACAGCTGTCACAATACAATCTAACAAAACTGTTTCGAACCAAGTTAGAGACAGCAAAGGACGGCTAGAGCATCATAGGGAAAATACAAATGGACCTTTCAGCCAGGCCAACATTGAGCTCTGAAGCCGGGGCGCGATGAGGCCGCTGCCACCCCAGCTCTCACGCTCCGGACTCCGCGCCCCTTCATGCTCCCCATTCTGAGAAGGTTCTGTCAGCAGGACACACAGGCCCCCAAGCACAGACGACACAATAACACTGTTCCTCTGGTGTGCTGACACTCCCCCGCCGGCCTGTAAACTTGTTTTTCTCACACAGAGCAAAACTGAAGATGTTTGACTCTAGAAGCTGCCACTTATATGTCCCACATAATAAAATCTTAAAAAACATTTATCAAATGAGCCATAATTTAAATACATTATACCCAATACTTTTTATTGGGACCATGAACATGGCCCAACCTAGCAATTCTGATTATTTGAAATATAATCATCTTTCATACAAATTAGTTTGTGGTATCTTACATGAAATAATAGGACTCTTCTATAAAAGAACACACAGGGTAAATAAATAACATTTAGCTCTGAGAGTCTGAAGCCAGAGTTCTCTCTTCAGCTGCCTCAGTGACTAGGAGCAGATACTCATGATTCACTGACCTACAAACCAGGCAGAATTAGTAGCACTTAGCAGCAGCCTGGGCTACAGCTCTGATGCCGTGTTTATGAGGCAGAGAGGTCTGTGGGTGAGACATGCCACAGCGACACCACCGGCAGTTTACACTGCCTTGCACGTTAGAGGCCACGCTACTGTGCTAGGCCCTTTTTCTAAGGCCGGGGGCGCGGGGAGACCACGGCAAGAGAACATTGGTAAGTCTGTACACAATCTTAAGTGACTGTAAAATACTGAAGAGCTAGTATATTTTTTCCTTTTATTATAATGAGAAAGAGGGGAGCACAGGACATCATTCCTCCATCGTGGCAAAGGCCGTGGGGGCACAAGCGAGTATGAACGACAGTAAAAACCTCTGGCCCGTGTGGCACGTCTTTAATCCTCAGAACAACTCAGGAGAGGCCGGAGTCTCTGTGTGTCACTGCAGAGCTACGGAGACTTAGGCACCAAGGGGCTGAGAAGCTTGCAGGGGGCAGGCCGACGAGTTATAGAACCCGAGCTTTCTCCTGTTTTCCCCACCTGCTCAGATGAGAGTTCCAACCAGGGAAGCAGTTAGCAAAGTCCTTACCCTGATAATCTTCCGGCCTGTTTTTGTTGGATCCAAAAATCTTGATGGTAGGGAACCCCTGCACCCCATACTGACCTCCGAGGGACTGGTGTTTATCTGCGTCAACAGCGCCCACTTTTACAACACCCTGTGGAAATACGGGAGAATTACCAATTTTTATTTCAGCCCGAGAGGATTCCACCAGAACCTTCATCTGATTCCTGTCAACTCGGAGACAAGACAACCAAGGGCAGGGCTCCATTTACAAACAGAATGAATGAAGGCTTTGGTCTGGGAAGCCATTCCCAAGGGGAATGACGGGGAAAACACAAATTAGCCCGTGAAACAGAAGTGACACGAAGAGACACCATAAAAATTCTAATGTACATTATACCTCTGCTTCCTACATGATTATGATGCCAAAAACAAGGGTTGAGCTTCAATATGCATATTAGCTTCTTATACATTAAGTCATTTGCATAAATCAAAACACATAGGTGTATGTGGGCACCTCAGAAACTTACTTTTAATGCAGTTGCCACTTTCTTCCATTCTGGTGTTAACCTTTGGCAGTGGCCACACCTTTCAGAGGATGAGAACACAAAGCAACAGTTAAAGTCTTTGATGCCCAGTTCAAAAATCGCCCACCAACAGTCTGCTGAGTGACAGGCACAGGGTCAGGGTTTGCAAGCAGACAGAGCACCCACGAAACACAGGCCCGGAGGAGCTCACTGTTTGAGGACTTGACTACAATATTTTTTCCTCTTGTAATTTTACAATGTTTCCAAATTCCTGTTCCATTAAATTATGTGCAGAATTTAAACAAACTCTGTCACTCCTAGCGCAATACCTGAGCCTGAATGCCAGTGTGTACCTGGTCACGAGTCCCTCTGTGTGCGGCTCGAGGCTACATGCAGATCCCTGGGCCTTGAGGACTCTGAGCTCCTCGAGAAGGGGTTTGGGAACCTGCACTTTAATAAATTCTGCTCAGGGTTCGTTCTGAAACCTGTGAAGGTTTGATATTCTCTATCTAGTCCCACCTTTTCATTTTATGGATAAGGCACCCCTGTCAGAGGCTAAGCCTCCATGAGCACTGGCCGCCACAGCAGCGTGTGGTTACAAGCACGCACGTCATCCCGGGCCAGTCAGCCTGACACGTGGGGAGCGCAGGCCGCCACCTGGCGGCGGTGAAAGAGCAAGAGGGACACGAGACCACGAGAAGCCTTCATCTTTGGGGAACTAGTATGTGAAAACGTGGTGAAGTAAAATATACCTAGAGAAGTGCTTTTTAAAAGTGACGTACACACAGCCTGTTACGTTTCTATCTCCCCAGGCAGCTACGCTGTTCATTTTCGTTACTTGTAAGACCCGTCCTAGGAAGACACCGTGGTTAGGTTATCCACGGGCGATCTGGTTTTCCTTTTTTGTGAACAGAGAAAATTCTCTCCTAATTGGGTCTGTGAGGACCTAAGACTTGTATTATGTCTCTAAAACTCAGCTCCGTGGCCTTCCAAAGGAAAAACTAAAGCCGTAAAATCAGGCCTTCCTAAAATGCGCCCACTCGGTACGGATGTGACCGACGACCCCAGGTGGGCTTCGAAGGCACGGCCCACACCTCAGAGACCCTCTGGGCCTCAGGCCCCCCGCAGCCCCCCTGTGGGCACACCGGCTGGGGCCGGCCTCCCCCCAGGGCACGGCCGCCTGCTCCTTTACAGCAGTGACAGTCTCATGCGCATTTCGCGCCATTTCCATGGACCCGTCTCTATACTTCTGTTTGTTGGGTTTGGTTTTGTTCCCATTGAATGTTTTAACTACATACTGCATTCTGACTATACATAGTTGTACACCATTATTTTCAATAGTAAGCACATCTTCACCCCACAAGGGTCTTTTCCAACACTGAATTTAAGGCAAGAGAAGAACTGTTAGAGTAAACCAGGTCTTCTAATCACGTATTTCTGGAAGCGACCCTCTTCAAGAAATAGGGTGGGTCAGTCACTGGCTCTTCCCTTTTCTTAGCTCAACATTCTTTCCTCATGAATGAGTTTCCTGTCCGTCACCGTCCTACTTACCTCATCATAAGGATAAACCATCTTAAAATTATAAGGGTTCCCCCCCCCTTCTTCTGTCTTGCAACAATTAGCTACTTGCCTCAATCTCCATGGCCCTTAACAAACACTGTGTGCAGCCTCCCACTTCCCTGTACGTGTTTAGGTAAAGCAGGTAGACTAGATGGCCAAATGAAATCACACTTTTATGTAGTATTTTTCCTTTTAAAGTACCGTGAATGACTGACAATATTTTATAATACTTACCATGGAGCAAAGAATTCTACAAGCCACAAACTATTACTCTGAATAACTTCTTGGTTGAAATTTGATGGGGTTAATTCAATCACATCATCACTAGAGGAATACAGCCCATTCGCTGTTAGAAAGAAGGTACAGCTCACCAGACCTGGAGGAACAACCAAAAGCAGACCATTAACGGCGGGGTTTGTACCGACAGGAAACCCAGGCGACCAGAGTCGTCTTCACCTGATCGAGGCCCTTCGTACAGGAGGACAGCTTGGGCCAGGCCCCTCCTAACCCCCTGACCCCGCCCTCCCAGCTGCTGCGGGAGACCCTGGGATTCCACTCCCACCAGTGGAGCGCCAAGAAGGGAAGAGAGCCCACACTCGCATGCCTTGAGCTGCACTGGGAAAAGATTTAAATGTTACTCTTAGTGCCTTCATTCTCCGCAACCACCCAGTGAGGCAGCACCACCTAACGGGCAAGGAGGCTGAAAAACTGGGAAGTTACATCCAGCTGCGACCTGAGTGACGGGCACCGTGTTGATTTCTTGTGTATATTAGCCCATCATATTTGTTAAAGCTTTTTAGGTTTTTCTTTTATTGTATTTATTGGGGTAACATTGGTTAACAAAATTATACAGGTTTCAGGTACACAATTCTACAAGAACAAAGCTTTTTTTTTTTTGGTATGGAGAAATAACTACTTGTTTCCCTTATGAGACTGGGATTCTCTCACGGTCTCGAGAACTCAAGTCTTTTGAATGGTAATGCTATAAAAATTTCACCTCCTCCTTTAAAGTTTATATATAATTTCATGTTTTCTAATCACATGGTTTTATATCTCCCGAACGACAAATAATGGAAAGTTCCTGATTTTAGCCGAAATAGTTTCCCATTTGCATGACGCTGGTTTTTGGGTTGAAGCAGATACACTATGTTATTAGAGAGATTTCTATCACTGTCTTTTCAGCATCCAGGAGGACGACCACATACCTCCCTATAATCTGCTGATACAACGAATGGAGAGAGAGACGGACCTTCTGCCCAGGCAGCGCGTGCGTCTTTGCCATCGCGGTCACATTCTCACAGGCTTACCTTATATACAGGAGCTTTTTTTGAATAACCCAATGGTAAATTTCTTTTGGAAGGCGTGTACACCAATGTTAGTCATCCTATTGCTAAACAGTCCACCTAATAATTACACAGTGCTTTCAATTTTCCAATCACTTTCAAATACATCAAATCATTTGATTTTCCACAGCACTACTAACTAGAGCATTACTAACTAAAGGCAGAACAAGCCGGGGCCCATCTACGGCTAAACATACATGGGGCAGAGCAGCAATTCGACTTCTATTTCCAAGCTTTTCCATTGAACCACACTGTCTTTTTAGTGCTCCAATAAGGCTGTGTGTGCCAGGGGCATGAGTAAACAGTCATACTGTTCGAGAATACTGCACGTCAATGACGGAGACTGTTAATGGAGGAACTTGAAATCAAACTGCAGACTTTACTGATGGCGAAGAGAAGCCACTAATGTGTTACCACGGGGGTGGGGGCTACAGTCAGATTTGCTTTTCAGAAAGAGTGTCTGGCCGCAGTGTGGGCAGCGCATGGGGAGTTTATCAGGAGAGTGGTGTCCCATAAACCGAGGGAAAGATGGAATGGGCCACAGTAACACACGCTGCTGGGGGCTCATGCCGGAAGAACTGACAACGGCACTGGCCCTAATGACAATGCGGTCACCGGGGACGGGCAGCTGGGGTGGAGCAGAGAAGGTGAGCAACAGCAGTCTGCAGAAGACCGGAGAGTAGGAGGGCACAGATCAGTGAAAACAACACAGACAGTAACTCTTTAAACCAGTTTCATTATAAAGAGCAAGAGAGCGCAAGCAAATGTGGAATAGAAGGATGGTTTCTTTTTAAAGGTGGGAGTGAACTAAGCATGAAAGGAAGGGATATGGGCAGTGGGAAAGGCTAAAGTACAGAGAATCAGGAAACAGAGTAAAATGCCCAGAGTCAGGAGGAGAGGAAGGAACCCACAGTCTGTGTGTGATAGGATGACCTCCTCTTCTGCTTTTCAGAGGATTCATTCACTGATTGGGGGAGGGGGGGAGAGGAGGAGAGGGAAACATCGATCTCAGTCACCCTGATTGGCTGCCCTTTGTACACGCCCCAACTACAGGACCAGAACGCAAGCTAGGCATGTGCCCTGACAGGGTATCAGACCCGCGACCTTCTGGTTTACAGGACACAGCGCCAACCAACCGAGCCACAGCAGCCAGGGCTCCTCTTCCATTTCAAGAGGTGGGAAAGGGTGAGCGTGGGTGAAGATCAGGCCAACCGAAGGGGCTCCCTCGACAACCGTGCTGTCCAGGGCAGCAGCCGCTCGCCGCACGTGGCTGCCCTCACTGAGACGCGCAGCAGGTGTAAAAGGCACACTGCATTTCAGAGCCTTGGCGGGAAATACTCTTGATGCTGATCACATGCTGAAATGGCATTTTGTTCAACTGGTATTTTAGGTATACTGGGTAAATGACTATATTAAAATGAATTTCACCCATTTCTATTTGTCTTTTTAAATGTGGCTACTAGAACATTTTAAATTACATAAGTTTGCATTACAGTTCTATTGGATGCTGCTGTTCAATAATCTTTTCATTGCTGCAGGAAAAGTTAAATAGAACTTGATATATTTAGCGTGGCAAATAAATGAAGAACATGAGCAAAGCCAGCCTTAATGCTAAATAAGCTTGAAAGAAAGACTGGTCCTGGAGAACCTTCTATGGAGATCTATGTCATTTAAAGTTTGGGTGGTGGTTTTTTTTGTAAAAATTCATACACATTGATACTTTTTCAATACGTTGAGTTCATTGTGAAATTTCCAAAAATGGAAAAGCAAAAGAAAAGCCATCAACAGTCCCCTCTAGAACAAGCTATTGTATTTTGGTAAATATTTTTACTGACATCTCAATGCAACACAGGTCTAAAAGTTTATTATATTTATATAAATGGGATCTTTATATATCTATTTCCTTCTATAACCTTTTATCACTCGAAATAAGGTACAGATATAGTCTATGTAAGTCCCTGTGGACTTCTTAGCGCCCCCACGTGACCTTTTCTACCGGTATGTCATGCGGCCAATCCACTGCCGACAGAATGGTTCCTGTTCTTCACTCTTAGCAGGGCAGGGCTGAAATGCTTTACTACCCTCCCTTCAAATGAACACGACTAGTTAAAGTCGTACAGGGTGCTGGGGCTATGGCGAACATTTTGATGCATTTATCTGCTGAACTACCCTCCAGAGACTGACATCTTAACTAAGAATAACACTTCTGTGATGCTCTGTGCCAGGCACTGTCCTAAATATTGAAAACATATCAACTCATTTAAGAACTATATGTGGTATGCACTGTCATGGTCATTTTTAGGCCAGAAAATGGAGACACAGGTAACTTACCTAAGGCCGTATAATTAGAACTAGAACTTGGTTACATAACCCAAATTTTTAACCAAAGGCCTGGAGACTGCAGAGCCCTAATGCCAAGCAGGACCGTTAAGTAGTTCCTGGCAGGAGGGTTAGTCAGTCTCTTCCCTCCCTCCTGTCAATCCGAGCAGCCCTAAAAAACCCTAAAAAACACACTGCCCTCTTCAGGCTCAGCCACCAAAGGGATGGTCCATGACTTTTACCCCAGGGAATGTGCTTCCTCTCCATACCAGATGGTCATGCCTACTGACACTCGCTAAGACAAGCACTTAGACTTCCCCCCTAGTAGCGGTGTTGGACTTTTGCTTTTTAACACCTGCCTGGTCCCCACAAGAGCCGCCCCTCCGTTTAAGTGGCTATCCAATGGCAATGCCTTGATGATAAAGCTTCAAGACCTCAACTCCCTAAAAGGCAGCATCACTTAGTAGGGTTGGCGGGAAATCAAGCACAATCAACAGAAAAATAGATTAAAAGATGTATAAATTCCAACAGCAAAAATACAGCCAGTAAGACCCCACAAAAACCCTCAAGAAAACAAAAAAACTCCGCGCCCACTTGAGATGATAAGTGCTGACCAATACGGTTCTATTTCTAAAAAGCACATCGCTGTTCTGCTCCCTGGTCAGGAGCACCTATGGGACACTGGGACAGTGAGCATCTGGACTGCGGGCGAGCAGATGGCTTTGCCCTGATCCTCCCGGAGTGGAGGATGCTCTAGACCCACGTCAGTGGCATTTCCGTCCCACCCCTGCGAGCGGGGCAACGGTCCCAAGGCAGTCATCTGGAAACCAAGAGGGCTCCCCAAAGGCTCCTCACATTCATTAAAATAACGAGTTCACGGATAGGACCACAGCCTCTTTCGGAGCTCAGCCTGAGTTCACTTGTGGGCAACTTTCAGACAGAGAGTCAACTTCCTCGCATCTATTCCCTCTGCCGCAACACAGCAAATGTTTGTATCTTGTTTGTTCTCGTCAGACGTGCATTAACTCGTCGCTCCTGACAACAGCTCTGCGGAGTACCAGCCCCGAGTGGTTGAGCAACTCGCTCCCCGTCCGTCACACGGCCAGGCTGCGAGGCACCCCGGGGTCGCGGGCCCGGGCTTCCCTAAGGACCGCAAGAGCACCGTGGCTCGGACCAATAGGAGCCCACGAAGGACGGGATCCTCAACGTCGCTCACATAATTCAAGAAAGCCTGGGTTCGATTTAGTTTTTACAAGTTTGATCCCATTTAAAGCACTCTTGCATCGTCAAGCAGCTTTTGAACGGCACCGTTCCCTTTAGAGGGCAACTACCAGGTCTGATGTCAGGACTGGGTTTTGATAGTTAAGTTTTTCTTACAAGTAGTAATTCCATAAAACAAGTGGGGAGGAAAATAAGACGTGCGAGGAGTACGTGACTCCCGTACACACTCGCGCCTGAGGTCCTTTTTAGGTTGCGCCCCCACACGCACCCTCCGCCAGGTATCAAGCCAGGCTGATCTCAGCAGCTAAAACGCCGCCACTGGCCCCCGCTCTCGGTCCCGGGCTCGGGGACGTCCCGGGAGGCCCAGCCCTGGGGCCTCCTTCACCCCGCCACGCTCGCGTACAGGCTCCCCCGGTGTGGGGTGCGGACGCCCCCCGCCAAGGGTGCCCTCCCCTCCCCACGCGCCCCCGAGCCCACCAGGACTCCGCACCTCCGCCGGAGAGCCCGCGCGGGGGCTTCGACCAAGGGCAGCGCCCGCTCCCGAGGCTTCCCCAACCGCCCCTGGGGCTCCCCAACCAACCCCGGGCTCCACGGGCTTCACGGGCTTCCCCGGCCGCGTCCTCGCGCGGGCCAAGCCCGCAAGTCCCCACCCCAAAGAGGGCCCAGCCGAGGCCACGCGCCCACCGGCTACCCAGACTGCGGACCGCCGCGAGGGTTCGGGCCTTCAAATCCCCCCGCTCCCTGCAGAACAAGGAGGACCGCGCCTACCGAGCACCAGGCGAGCCATGCCGAGTGTCTGGGCCGCCGCGCAATCCTGCCGCCGCCTCAGCTCTACCGCGCCGCGCCGCGCCGCGCCCCCGCCGCCCCACGTCCCGCCCTCGGTCCGCGCAAGGCCGCGGCGGAGCACCGCCGTGGGGGCGGGCCGGAAGACGCTCGCCAAGCCGTGGCCGCGGTTCGTTGGTTCCTGAAGGCTTCGCTCATTCGTGTAGCCAATGAGGAGTGGCCGGGTAGAGGTTACCGGTTTGGTTTTTTTAATAGAGGCGGGGCGAGCGGCGGAAGGAGGGACTTGCTGGGGGAGGGACTGTCCAACCTCTCCTTCCCCGGTGGCCCTCTGTCCCTGCCAACCCACCCCTGGGCCCTTGGAGTCCACTATTTGGTTTTTCTAATCCCTCGGTTCCTTACTCTCTCCTTAACCCCACCTTGTCTCAAAGGAGCCCTTTCCAGCCCTCATTCATCCTTCGCCTCCCCGTCCCTTATTCTCTGTCTCCTGGGAGGATAACTTTCTTCCGGCCCTCGGTGCATCTCGGACCTTATTAAATTACATTAATTTTTCTTGTTCCCGGATGAGTAATCCGTCAAAACAAACAAACAAACAAACACTTGCTAAGCACGTGCTGTATATAACCTATGTCACCAAGTATTTATTTTGTTGAATTACTTTAAAAATTGTCCTGGGTTAAGCACTGTGCAAAGTCTTTCTCAGATAGGACCATGTTCCCCGCGGGACTTGAGCTTCGCGCCCTAGGTGGGGCCCTTGCAATGCCTTCACGTGGTCTTATGTCTTGTAAGATTTGCAAAAGTAAAATATTTAAAGTATAATAGGCTAGGCTAAGACTAAGGTATCTTTCCAGTCTGATTTCCCCTTCTATGTTTAGAGTAGACTTGAGCTTTTTTTTTTTTTTTAGTAATAGTTTCTTTCTCTGCGCCGCCTAATACATAACACAGCTCTGATTCTGGCAAAAGCATTTATGAACACAGTGGGGTCCAGGAATGGTAAGTGATGGTAGGGAGGGCACTAGACCTGAGTCTGGAAGATGTGCTGGACAAGCAGGAGAATGTCATTCTAGGGAGCGGTACCAAAGGGACTAAAGAAGGCAGAGACAGGTGAACCTACACCCTGAAGAGGGAGCCAGCGGTCAATGCTCGATTCTGGGGTGATGCTGGGGAGTGACACAGTGAGACATTCTGGTTGTAGTGTGTAGGCTTGGCCATAGGGGTCCCTGAGTTCTGATTCTCTAAGATCTGTTTGGGTTCATTGATGCTGTTGACAAATCTAGAATTTGGTGTGTCAGGGTAGTAAATGGCAACCTTTAAACGACACAACCTTAAAATCTCATTGGCTTTTACCGTCAAGGGCTGTTTCTTGCTCTCATTGGGAATGGCTTTTCAGGTGGTGACTGGGGACTCTGACTCCTCCTGCCTTACAATGCCACCACCTTCTAAAACCTGCACTCTCACTCAGCTTGGGAGGTTCTGTCCCCAAGGAGGCAAAGCTGGCTCTTGGAGGGGAGGGGATGAAAAAAAAAAAACAAAACTTAGATATTACAAGGGACACAAACAGATACACAATATACCTGTGTTTTTCAAATTTCATGGGAGAAGGGAAAGTAGGAAAAGAAGTGTCTATAAAGGCTCCTAAGGGGGATGATAATGAAAAAAAAAAAGAGAGAGAGAGGGAGAGAGAGGCTGAGAAACACTGTTTTAGAACCAGGCTGTTCAATAGAAATATAATGTGAGCCACAACCACATATGAAAGTTAAACATTTCTAGTAGCCACATTGAAAAAGTAAAAGATTAATTTTAATAATATAGTTTAACCCAAGATACCCCCAATGTTATAATTCCAACATGTAATTCTATAAAAATTATTAATGGCCTGTTTTACATTCTTTTCATATTAAATTTTTGAAACCCAGTGTATATTTTAATAGAGCACATCTCAAAATAGTACATTTCAAGTGCTCAATAGCCATATGGAGCTAGAGGCTGCTCTATTGGACAGCACTATTCTAGACCCTCCTTAGAGTCCTTGATTGGTTCTTTTGCATTTGACTGACAGAAGAGCAAAGAGGACCAGGAGGGCTGCCCACGTAGTTTTGGCTAGGCCTGGCACTGTCTTTCCACTTAGATTCCATAAGCCAGAAGCTAGTTATGTGGCCCCAACTTAACTGCAAGGGAGGCTGGGAAATAGTCTCCTCTGGCCAGGAAGAGAAATTGCATCGATTAGGAGCCAGACAATCTCTGCTGTAGCCTGGGCTCCCAATATCCATGTTATTCTTCCTCCACACAGGGAATAGACTCAGTCCCTCCCCGAGGGGGCTCTACCCAATATCCATCACAGCACCCAGCTCAAAGTTCTGGATGTCTGGGAGGTGCATTGATCCTCTAGGTCAGGGTGTGAGGCCCCCAGGTATAGAGCTCATGAACTAAAAGAACAAGCTATCCTCCCCACCTGCAAACCCCGAATGTATGGTGTTAGGGCAGGCAAGACAATCATAAACACTCCCTGTCAGAAAGGAGAAAAGTAGACACAGAGCCGTCCCTGGTTCAGTAGTTCTGAAATCCTGATGGGCAGACATTGCAAGGCTTCCCGCCTTCCCCAACCCCACCAGTCCCCCGCCCGCCACCCTCCCAGTCCCCAGCCGCTTCTGGGCAAAGGGGTTCCTCTGTCAGGGTCTGCCCCTGGGAGGAAGAGGGAGTGGAGGGGCTGCTCTCCTGGGATCTGCCCAGTACTCGGAACCTGCCCCTTGCCTGTGGAAGGTTGGGGGTCCAAAGCCTTTGTTGTTCTGTGCTTTTGCCTTATGTTTTGCTTTAAGTAACTTTTTATTGAAATATAACATTGTTAGGCACTAAATTGTATCTTCTCCAAATCCATAATGTTGAAACCTTAAAATCCAAATGACTGTATTTGGAAATAGGGGCTTTAAAGAGGTAATTGAGGTTAAGTAAGGTCATAAGGAGGGACCTCATCCCATAGGACTGTGTCCTTATAAGAAGAGGAAGAGACACCAGGAGTGTATATGCAGAGTAAAGACCACGTGAGGACACAGCCAGAAGGTGGCCGCCTGCACACCAAGGACAGAGGCCTCTGGATAGGCTAGCCCTGCCAGCACCTTGACCTGGGACTTCCAGCCTCCAGAACGGTGATACAATTAACGGTGTCGTTTAAGCCCCCTAATCTGTGGTACTGCGTCGCGGCCGCCCGGGCAGGCTAATAGCTTCACCACAAGCACACAGCCTGAAAAGAGCACAAATCTTTAAGCGTAGCAGCTCCTTGACATCTTCATAAAGGGAGCAGCCCATGTAACAGCGCTCCAGAGGGACCCCTTGAATCTCCTGAAAAAGATAATTAATGCTATGTATTACCATCATAGGGCAGCTTTGCCTAGTTGGGCACTTTACAAAAATAGAATCCGACTCATGGACAACAGGGTGGTGATTGCTCGGGGGAGGAGGTATAAGGGGGATGAATGGTGATGGAAGAAATGCAATAAAATAAATAAATACACTTCGAAAATTGAAAACAAATAAATAATTAAATAAATGACACCCCAGCTCCACCACTCACTTCAAAAAACCCCCACCAAAACCAGAACCAAAATAATCAGCATGTTCTGTGTGTGGCTTTCTGTGTTCAGCGCCGTGTTGGGTGGCCCATCCGTATTGTATGTAACTGCTCGTTGTGCCCCACTGTGTAAATGGGCCGCAGTCTGTGTGCGCTCCTGATGGACATTCAGTGGTTTCCACATGCATCGGCGGGCGGGCACCGGGCCGGACCTGACAGGCCAGACGCACACCTTTGAGTTGGGGCCATGGGCTTTCTCCCAGGTCCTGCTGGGGAGTGTGACGGCCGGTGTGCGCAACCGTTTCAATCTCAGCTCCAGCTGACGCCTCCCACACACAAACCATTTAGCAGGCCTGAGGTCGTCTAACCAGGGCTGCTCGGTGCGAAAGGGTTATGTCCAGCCATGACCCCCAAGCCTGCTAGCCTCTGGAGTTGGGTGCGCCGGTGCGTCCCTCCGCGGCTGTGCACGGAAGGCCTCGTGCGTCTAGGTGCTGAAGGGAGAACGGAAGACATTCAGAAAACACAGTTCCCGCTGGCAGAAGGTAGGTTCATCAGTGCGTGTTGCCTGATCTGGACTATTCTGGCTCTTCTTAAAGGCTTTGAATGTGAAAGCTGAAGTATAAAGGTGGCTTTGGCTGCAGATGCAAACAAAGGAATGGGTCACTATTCACTCTCTCTCAGTCCTTCCCTCCCTTACTTAGTCAGCCTAAGTGAGCAACTCATTCTCTTTGAGGGAGTTTGATGATGAAGAAGGTTTCTGGGTGGCAGGGGACAAAAGGCGGCTGTTCCAGGCAAGGGCAGCTCAAAGGCACAGGGAGGAGAAGAGTTTGTTGCCTGGGGAACCGCGAGCAGCCCTCCGCAGCAGGCTGACTGGGACTGGTCCCCACAGCTACACAAGCACAGAGACCCTGACCATACCAGTCGCTTTTCTTTTAACGCTACTGTGAGTTTTAAGAAAAAAATATTAAAACCTTTTACGTGACCACAGTCTTGAATTCTAGAACTTAGGCCTTTATTTTGTCTGGCTCTTTGTGTGCTCAGTAAATGAAAATTGGGTGTTCCAGAGTTGAGTGCTTTGAGACCATTTCAGAAAGTCCCCTTGGCCATGGCTGGGAGCTGGGCCCATCAAATACCAGCCCCGGGCCATTGTTCCTGGAAAAAACAGAAAGGACCACAATAATATCCTCTGAAACGTGGCAGGCTCTTCTTCCTGTTCTGCCCCCAAAGGCTTGACCACCAAGCAGAAAAGAATGCACCAGATGGCTAAGGAGGAGGAAAGGACGGTCTAGGAACCCCTCCCCCCCAGGGCAATGAACAGAATTAATAATTCAGATCCTCACCATATTTCACATAGTTCATAATATTACAAATAAATAAATAAATAAATAAATAAATACGATAACTTTGAATGGCTGTCCCCCAGAATTTTCTTAAGCAAAGTTGGGGATGAGGATGTTGATGAGTTTCTTTTGAACCTTCTGTCTGGAAGTGGCACACCTCACTCGCTTCTATTCCCATTTACT